CCCCAAAACCCCAAAACCCCAAAACCCCAAAACCCCTCAACATTGCATGAAAATTGAAAATTGATTAATTCTAGGAATAATGAGATTTACATACAATCCTTGCTAAACTCCTTTCCTAGAGAACTTCCGGTCGCTTCCTACTAGTCTCAGCTACTTTGGGGATTCTATGTGATGGAGCTATAAATATGTTAGAGGCTGCTGAAATTGTAAAATCCGATATTTTCACAAGAAAAGAGGCTATTTTAACTACATTTAGACTTACAGCTAATCTCATTCTGACTCTGGTGAGGTCTTAAGCTTGGCAAATAGGACAGATAAGACTTTGAAGTCTTCTTCTGTCTAAAGGTTGGCAACTTTTTCTTCTTAACTATACTCTTTTTCGTGTAAATTGGCTGAATATTGCAGATCCCGCTATCATCTTCAGGCTCTGTATATTCAGAGCTTGACTTGTTTGAATTACGCGACTTTCTATTGACAGAGTTCTTGTAAGTATCTTGGGTGAAAATTGGACCTCGTACAGAAGTGCAATTGATGCTTTTACTCTTGTTGTTCTTGATTCTTCGAGTCTGAGCTTGGATATCAAAGATTGTAATTCTCTGGTCAAGCTTGTCGTTGTTCTTTCGTCACCGCCTTGGTGAAGGAGATGAATTTGAGAAGCTTTCAGTGCTTTTAGCGATATTCACTTTCATACTGAATTTAGATTCCTTGCTTGGGCCACATTTGATGTTGATAGTTTCTAAAAATCAAAGAAAAAAACATACGTGTGAGGGCTCCGTTATTCCTGACACTCTTGTGTTTACTATCGTCAATTTTCAAAGGGAGCTGATTGACTATTGTAGTAAACTTGCCTCCATATCGACCTAGAATTTACAGATGGAGCTTACTGTGTTTCACTACGTTTATCCTATCAATACAGCCTTTTATATCTAAAATTTTCATTACATGCTATACCTTCAAGAGTGGTATTTTGACCCTCTCGGCTACTATCCTCCATAGATTCTTCATAGGCATCAGCTTGTGTATGAGTCACTGTGTACTTTCACTTATGTATCTTGCTTCCATTTATTTTGATTTTATTGTTAACGATTATGTTTTGCTCAGCAATATTCTTATCATCTATTCGATAAGAAATACTATTATCTCTCTTGGTATTCCTGTAATAATTCTTCAAGCGACTCGCTAGAATAGTCATTGAGGCGATCTTACAGTCTAGAACGGAATCGAAGATGCTCAGCATCTTCTTCCTTCTCTCTCGAAGGATCTCTGATTGTCTCTGAGCTCGAGTGCTTCTTGTACTCAACTGGACTACAGGAGAACTGTTGATCGGCTTTCCAGCATGTGGGAATTTCTTTTCCTAGAATTATAAGCAATCCTACTGTCAGCTGATGCTTATTTACCCTTCTGAGAGACCCGAAGGTTGACTCTCTGGGTACTTTTTCTCAGGTTTTCGAGGATATGCTTATTTTCTTCAATGATATCGCTTATTGTTCCATTTTTAGTTACGTTCAGTCTGAGATGTATTCTTTGACATGAATAACTTCTTTTTAAGCTATAACTTTAGTCCCTAAGCTTACTTCAATTGGTTTTGGGTTTACTTTGAGCTGTGAAAACAGTTTCTCTGTATCCAAATTTTTGAGTTTCTATACCAAATTATAAACCAAACATCAAGCATGTTATCAAGAGTTATTACCTTTTCAAGGTCTTCTAGGTTTTGGTTGCCTATCCTATGAAGTCCTATCTGGGGTTTGTTAACCATAGTTCCTAAATATGAGGTGAAATATTTACTATCGCTCGTATTTCTGCTACTCCGATATCCTCTTAGTCGTAATTTTCTTTTATGGGCTAAAGATTTATGATAATTTAAGAACTATATAGAGCAATTTTTAGCGAACTTCTTCAAAAGGTTTGCCTAAGATGGACTAAATCAGGCATGGGCTTACTCAGCTGAGGGAGTTTATTCTCCCCATTAAGTACTTCTTCTAATACATTATTATTCATGATTAAATTGTTAATAATTATGTGTTATTTTTGGGGTTTTGGGGTTTTGGGGTTTTGGGGTTTTGGGG